GGTATCTGGAAGTGTGTTTTTGCTGTCTTCTTTGAACTTTTTTGTTTGAATACTAGAATTTTGAGCAAGTATCACTTTATAAAATAATCACTGTAAATGTATATTCTTCTACCCACTGGCTGCACCGTGCTCTACCGATATTTATCGCAGTCCATTCCATAAGCCCCTCGTTCCCTCTGCTCTAAATAACACGGAGATGAACAGCCACGTTTAGCCATCTCTGCCTGCATCTGTGGCATGGCTGGAGGTGAAATCACTCAGTTCAGAGGATGCGAGCTTTTGTGAAGACTTCTTGAGCATACTGCATCTCATGCTCCCTTGAGTTGGTTTTCCACTACGTTGCAGAATTTCATGACAGCCAAGAATTTCCATTCACAAAACTGCATGTAGGGATTTTTCTGGAAGCTAATAAATGACTTCAGGCTTGTCATCAGCCCACTGCACTGTGCTGACTCTGAAGGATTTTTGAGTTTCTCACGTATCTTAAAGAACGCGTACAATTTTAATAATTCATGAAACATTTAAATAAACTTCTTACTGGTAAATAATGCAGGAAGTCTTATGGTGAAATAAACTATTTACTGATGCTTTTTGAAGTTAACAAAACTAAAGCCTAAGGGTTTCGAATAAAGGTTAACATAAAACACAATGGGAATTTTGTTTAAAAAGAAGGAAATGTTGATTTTGTTATTTACTGGAGTGAATTGTTCTCCTGACATATTCATATTTTGAAATGATTCTAATTTAATAGCCTGCAATTTTGAATAAAACATATAAATGACCTGAGAACTCTGAAACACAGGAATCCTGGTGTTTCTCACAGATTTGAGAGTCAGTCTGGGAATCCAGTCTTCTGTGAAACTGAGCTGGTTCACAGAGGTAGCTACAATGTAGAATAGCATAGTCTGATGCTGTATTGATTATCAGCACAATATTTCAGTGAATTTTTACCCTAACTCATTTCCTGCCGTAAACTACCAAAGGCACTACAAAAATAAAGCAATAATATGCTCTTTAAAAAAATTTTTTATTTTATATTGGACTATGGTTGATTTACAGTGTTGTGTTAGTTTCGGGTATATAGCAACAAATATATGCTCTTTATAAGCTTCATTAGTGTGAAAACTGGATGCTCTGTAGAAACGATCTTGTGTGCTTGTGGAGGGGGGTGTGTGACCATTTCAGCATAGCTGAGTTGGCTGGTGTAGCAGAGAGAACCCCCCAGCCTGGGTGGGTGACACCCCCTGCTCGTGGCAGTCTTGACCGGGCGGAAGTGCTGGGACTGAGGTCCACACTAGGGGCGTTGGGGCCAGCTATTCCTCACTGGCTGGATTTGCAGGACAGAGGGTTTCCATGGCAACTCCCTGCTGCTTTCCTGGCCCCTGACCCCAAGGGTCATTGACTCAAAACACCCAGGCTCCCAGACCTTCCCCTTGGAGGAAACCCTGAATCCTGGCCACACCACCCACCAGCCACATGACTTGGGGTGATTTATTCAAAATTTCACCTTTTTTTTCCCCTCCATAACGTCCCTTGGAAAATGGCTGGGGTGGAAATTCAGTGAGAGACTCAGCACGCAGCAGGCCCTGGAGTCAGACGACTGTCCCCCACGCGGAGCACATGGCTGTCTGGAGGGCGCGGATGCAGCCACGAGGCGCAGCGGGCGCCCCTCAGCCGCGTTCCTGCTGTCCCGCTGCCAGGAGGCCCCTGCGGACTGGCGTTTCACTCTTCTTGCCCCTCCTCTCAGAGACTGGCATTTTTCTCTTCCCTGGAGATGGAGCAGGAGGCAGGGAGGGTGCCGGGGAGGAAGGCTAGCCCTGCCACTGCCGAGGCCAGAAGCTGTCTTCCTGTCTTTGTGAATGGGAGCACGGCTCACTCACCCACCCGTCACCACCCGCAGTGTGGTACCCACGGCTTCCATCCGGGATGGACACAGACCAGAAACCAGCTTCCCAGGGGCCGGGGAGCCGCGCTCTGACGCAGGGCGGCTCCTCGGCCTCCCTTCCTGCCATGTGACCCGCAGACCGTGTGTTTCCCGCCTCCCCTCTTTCTTCTCTGTCACATCCCGGGCTCTTCTCTATGCAGCTGCTCCCATGACTTTAAGCCCCCTCACAACCTCTCCACGTCCTGCCCTGAACCCCCTCTCCTTTGAATTCGGTTTGAAGATGCTACATCCCCAACACCGAGCATTTTCATCCCTAACCAGCCCCTGCCCCCCTGTATCTCCTGGCCCCACCCCGCCACGGCTGCCTGAGCCAGGATCCCTCACCCTAACCCCGACCTCCTCCACGTCCCTCTGTCTGCGGAGCTGTGAACATAGCTCATGTGGTTGCATCGGTAGCTTCCTGGCCTGTGGGCTTCCAAGACTGGCTCCCCTCAAACCTGTCTTCACCTTGGTGTCCCAGCAAACGCAGACCTCATGCCATAGGTTCCCTTTTTTACCATCCTTGTGAAAGTGAAAGTCGCTCAGTCGTGTCCTACTCTTTGCGACCCCATGGACTGTAGCCCACCAGGCTCCTCTGTCCGTGGAATTCTCCAGGCCAGAATACTGGAGTGGGTAGCTGTTCCCTTCTCCAGGGGTTCTTCCCGACCCAGGGATCGAACCCAGGTCTCCCACATTACAGGCAGATCCTTTACCGTCTAACCCACCGGGGAAGCGCCTGCACCATCCTTAATGTCTCCCTATAGCTTCCAGGGTCACAGTCCAGGGGGTCTCCCTGTAGCTTCCAGGGTCACAGTCCAGGGGGTCTCCCTGTAGCTTCCAGGGTCACAGTCCAGGGGGTCTCCCTGTAGCTTCCAGGGTCACAGTCCAGGGGGTCTCCCTGTAGCTTCCAGGGTCACAGTCCAGGGGGTCTCCCTGTNTGCAGGCAGATTCTTTACCATCTGCGCCAGCAGGGAAGCTGATTTCCTTAAATGAGATATTGGAACTGCAGATAAAGATTTTAAACACGTAAACACATGTAAGGGTCCCAATACTTGTTTTCAAACTGCCTGCCTGAGAGGCTGTGTCAGTTTATGCTGGCGTCTGTTTCGTCTGGAAGGATCTCCCCACAAGAGGAGGTGCCGTGATGATTCTCAGCCTTTGTAAATCTGGGAGCTAAAAACTGGTGACTCTTTGATTTGTCAGTCTTGAAAGCTCTTTTTCAAACTGTCAAAGCCTGCCTTGCAATGTTAGTATTTATTTATTTCTTGATGACTTGCTGCTGCTGCTGCTAAGTCACATCAGTCGAGTCCGACTTTGTGCGACCCCATAGACGGCAGCCCACCAGGCTCCCATCTCTGGGATTCTCCAGGCAAGAACACTGGAGTGGGGTGCCATTGCCTTCTCCAGTGCATGAAAGTGAAGAGTGAAAGTGAAGTCGCTCGGTTCTGTCCGACTCTTAGCGACCCCATGGACTGTAGCTTACCAGGCTCCTCCGTCCATGGGATTTCCCAGGCAAGAGTACTGGAGTGGGTTGCCATTGCCTTCTCCATCTTGGTGACTTAGAGATTACTTATTAACCCGTTTGCATTGCCTGTTGCAAATCTGTTTTCTTGGTTGAGATTAGGAGAGTGTCTTTGGCCGTGCTGGGTCTTTGTTGCTGCCCACGGGCTTTCTCTGCTTGCGGTGAGCAGGGGCTGCTCCCTAGTTGCAGTGTGTGGGCTTCTCATTGCGGTGGCTTCTCTTGCTGCCAAGCACAGGCTGTAGGATGTGTGGGCTTCAGTAGTTGTGGTGCACGGGCTTAGTTGCCCTGAGCCTATGAAATCTTCCCACACCAGGGATCAAACCCAGGTCCCCTGCATCGGGACTTCCAACCACTGGACCACAGGGAAATCCAAGATCAGGAGTTGAACATCATCCTCCTTGCCTGCGAGAAACACGCCTGCCCAGGTGCTTGATAAGCCTAAAATAGGTTCTCCACCGGGCTTATCTTTTAAGATGTTGAAGCCGACACAGTGTGTTAGGCAGGTAAATGAGGGCAGAAAGTTGGACTTAAGCGGGACCATAAAAAGGACTCCAACTCGGGTAAAGGCGTACAGGCACTCCTCTCTTTAAAAAGAACATGATCTCCTTAAACACCGCCTGGTTGTTCCATCACACTGTTCCCTAGGCAACAGTTGCTGATGAGCAGAAGACTGCAAGGTCTTCTTAGCTTCCACCCAGCTGAGATGTGTCCATTGGGCACAAAGTCTCCCACATCGCCTAGAGAGTGGGCTTGAGTCAGCTTCTGGCAGGAGATCAGGACAGTCTGGACAACTCTGAATGTTAGACACCAAGCCATTTAACAAAAACCAGCTGGGAGGAGTAGGTTTCCTGTGTTCTTGGACACTCGACAAATGGTGGTAGATGGTTGTAATTCCGAAAGGGAAAAAATAACACATTCTCTAAGGACGATTTGTCAACTGGGTTTTTTTCACAGAGAGGAAAAAGCCTGAAATGTCCCCAGTAAAGCTGTTTGCCATCGTTATAACACAGTTGGCGGGGTGGAACGCGGAGGCTGAAGCGGAGATGGCTCTGTCCTAGGTGTGGTGCTCAGCCATGTGGTCTTGGACAGGTCACTTGTCAAGACTGGAAAAGTGATGTCCGCTGGGAGCAGCGGCCAGGCCAGATCATGTCCGGAGGCCCTTCCAGCTGTGGTTTTAAGAGGGAGAGAGAACATTTGTCCGGTGGAGGCAGGGGTGGGGTAGGAAAGAGCCGGGGCTAGGGAGAGAGCTGCTGAGCTCCTGGTGTGGCTGCATCATCTCGAACCTGCGTCAGCTGGAATCCATCACTCAACCCCGAGCCATGATTTCCAAAAAGACGCCCGGGAATGATAATACCCACCTTTCAGGGCTGTCAAGGCTTAAATGAGATAAACCCGGAAAGTGCCAACGCAGTGTCTGATACAGCGTTCAGTGGCCNAACCTGCGTCAGCTGGAATCCATCACTCAACCCCGAGCCATGATTTCCAAAAAGACGCCCGGGAATGATAATACCCACCTTTCAGGGCTGTCAAGTCTTAAATGAGATAAACCCGGAAAGTGCCAACGCAGTGTCTGATACAGCGTTCAGTGGCCGTCTTGTGATGGTTTGGGGACCCCTTCACACTGGTCCTGGGCTCACGTGGCCTCACTGCCTGCTGTTTCCAGGCCCTCGACGAGACTCTCTCCCTGTCTCTACCTCCATCCTAAATCGGAGAGTGGGATCCTTTCTCTTGATGGGGCTTCTGTGAGAAATAACAAAGCATGTAAGGCACTTCGATAGCCTCTGGTACACAGGGTTAGTGATTGTTTTTGTCATCAGCCTCACGGGGAAATGTGTCACTTGAGAGTTGAGCGGAGATGCTGAGCACAGCACACAGGGCCGGGGGTGGGGGTGGGGTTCTCACAGCTAACCCTCCCCTCCCAAGGTTCTCATCCACCCCTTGTTTTATCTGAACAGACACACAACATCTTCAGGTCCTATATGGAGAACCAGTCTATTCTATTGCATTTAAAAAGGGTCCTGGGATCCTGGATTAAGGGAACCCCTTCCAGTTCACGTGGCAATTACTGCTGTGACACTGCTCTCCCCCTTTGTAAGGGATGAGCGGTGGCCTTTCGTCTGCTCGTGACATCGGTCATGGATCGTGTGACAACGTGCACCACGCACAGACTCGACAAACAGTAGCGAGTGGTTCTCAGCTGCTCCAGAGGCTCAGATCCGAGAGCCAGAGGCTTTTCACAGCAAGTCAGGTCCCCAAACACTTAATCCCAACCGGTGAAAATGAATGGTCCCATGAAAGCTAATTCATCTGTCACACATCAGACACTCCGGCACAGACTAGATTCCCTCTGCTGTTGGACATCCAAGTCAGACACTTTCTAGTTAAGGGTAAACCATTGCTTTCCCGGTGGCTCAGACAATAAAGGATCCTCCTGCAATGCCGGAGACCCAGATTCCATCCCTGGGTTGGGAAGATCCCCTGGAGAAAAGAAATGGCAGCCCACTCCAGTATTCTTGCCTGGAGAAGTCCATGGACAGAGGAGCCTGGGCGGCTACAGTCCATGGGGTTGCAAAGAGTCAGACATGACTGAGCGACTCACACACACGATAGTGATGACGTTTGTGTTGGGTCTTTTGTGTTCTTAGGAAAACTACAGAGCATAGCTGGGGCCAGGGGGCCCTGCGAAGGCTGAGGGGCTGCGGCGGGCAGCACACCAGCCCCCCCACTCCCTCCCCCCGCTTCCCTGGTCCCCCCGAGAAAGCAGCCCAGGCCCAGGGCCCAGGGCCCACGGCCAGCCCTGGCGTGGTGTGTGTCTGTGCACGTGTGCGCCTGTCTCCCTTGTGAGATGTCTCAGACCACCTCTAAGTAAATTAGGAGACGTGCATAACCAGGCTGGTAACATACCTCTTACGGCTTTTTCGCTGTTCACCAGGTTGAGAGTTTCTTTTCCTCACTGTAATCTCTGCATCTTTTACTAAATGAAGTGAACGGTACTGTAGTAGGTCCTCAAGTTTCTAGAAGTCTATGGAAGCTCACAACTAGCAGGTCAGTCTCAGGACATGGAGTCACAGATGGACCCTTAGAGGTGAAGGGTCAGTGCCCCCCATTTCTTATCCTCTTGATGACTTTAAATGTGCAGACAGCATAGAGCTTCCTAAAGTAGAGACGGAAGACGTGGTTCTTAGGCAAGAGAGTTATACTTTTGTGTTCAATGAGAGTTTAATATTTGAAAAATTAAAAATTGAATACAAATAAGATATTCAAAAATTCTTAGATAGCCATTATGATCATAGTACTTGTTCAAACTGGAAAGCAGAATTTTTTCTGTACCCTACAACACAAATTTTATCTTGCCTTAAAAAAATATTGACCTAAATTTAAGCTTGTTCTATACTTGGTTAATTATTCTGGTTATTCTAAAAGAATATATATTTTATCTTATATTAAGACCTTACAAATATCTTAGAATGGAAGATACATATTATAAAATATTTCTCTTAGCTTGAAGTGCTAAACAAATCTTGCAATGTGATTCATCTTGTATTTTTCAAATATTGCTATAAATAAGCTGCAAAATTCTGACTTTCAGTGTCTTTAATAAATTGTTAGTTTTTCAGTTCTTCACAGAGCATAATGAAATGCGTTCACAGTCGGTAGCACTGTTCAAACTTTATAGATTAAGAGTAGACTTGTCAACGCGTGTATATTCCATCTGTGAGACAGAAAAGTGATCTTGTTTCCATGTTAAATAAAACTCTGACATAGATGAGCTTGTTACCGAAGTTCCTCAGCGGAGAGTTGGGTCCTCTTTTATTACAAACACTGTTATTAACACGGTTATAAACTGTCTTGTAGACAGAGGAGCCTGGTGGGCTACAGTCCATGGGATCACAAAGAGTCGGACACGACTAAGTGACTAAGCCCACACATAANAGAAATCCAAAGCTGTGTGTTCTGTCTGCATCCCCCACGCCTGGCATGGTGTGGGGGTATTTTCATTGAATGGTATGGCACCTGTCACAGTTATAAGTGGTTACTTATCTGTGCAATTATTTGACATCAGTCTCCCCCCAGAGGCATGACTGCCTCTGCATGACTGCAGAGATGTCCACCTCGCAGGTGGGCTGAACCTTGGACAAATCAAGAGAAAAGAAATACAGATCTGGACTGGGGGGCATCTGGGTCATGCTCAATGAGGCGGGGCTGGCCAGGGGCCTTACGGGGAAGAACTCTGAAGGCTTCCCGGGAATCCTAAAACCCGTGCCCCCCAGGAGCATGGGGCGAGGATGTAAGTGCAGCTGTGTGTTCACTTTCTTTACTTTCTGTGGCATTCAGAAGTAGGTACAATATGATGGATAAAAATGCAACAATTACTGCTTACTGCTTGCAAGATGGGTTGACCGTATCAGTGAAAAGAGACATGCGCCAAAAACATGACCTTGCATCACTGTTATTTCCTCTAGCAAAGCCTAAAGAGAAACCTGGCATCAGTGATTCACCCTGTGATCATGCGATCAAGCCTGTGACTTTTTAAAGCAAAAATTAAGGAAGAAAAAAAAGCACTTTAACACCCAGGAGGATTCTTAACTTTGAGTCCACTCACCCTCCAAGGGCCTTTGGTTAGATTTCAAAGGATCCCTGAAATTGGGTCAGAAAAAAAAAAGAGCAACATCACCTACCGTTATGAGTGTCAGCCCCAAACCTGAGCAGAGTTGGAAGTGCGCGTGGTTTCATCACTGAGTACTGACTGTTTTTGTGGAACTTCTCGGTGGTTGCAGACAGCTGGGGAAATTCACATGGTCATGTGGATATTAAGGTAGATATGAGCTCTGGTCACTCAGGGCACCAGGAAATAAGCTGGTATGGGGCCAGCTATTCCCAGCCTTGAGATGCCAGGGCCGGGGCTCTGCACACATCTCCCCAGGGTTCTGCCCAGAGGCGCTAGGGGGAGACAGTGAGGCGGAGGAAGGAGACACGTCTGCTCCGCCCTGTCTGCTTCCTGTTTCTGTAAGCCGTCGCCCTAGCAACCGCCTTCGCCCGGCCGCCCTGGCTGGTTCTGTTTCTAGCATTCTTCACGCTCTCAGAAACCACTGTTGTGGAGCCCAGGGAGGTTCTGGAGCGCAATGCCTTCTGAGTGTCTGGGGTACACTAACTCACCCCGCTGTTCCTCCAGCCCTAGCTGTTCCCCAAATTATTACCTCTGCGTCTCTTCTGTCTTCTAAATCATTCAACACGTGCTTAGTGGGTCCCATGTATTAAATTACTCCTATTAACATAAATGGTATAATTTCTTTTTTTTTCCCCCCTGTCTGTATTGCGATTGATTGATTGTTGTTGTTGTTGTCAATAAGTCATGTCCAACTCTTTTGCGACCGCATGGACTATAGCCTTCCAGACTCCTCTGTCCATACAGTTCTCCAGGCAAGAATGCTGGAGGGAGTAGCCATCTCCTTCTCCAGGGGATCTTCCCAACCCAGGGACTGAACCCACATCTCCTGCTTTGGCAGGTGGTTTCTTTATCACTGAGCCACCAGGGAAGCCTGTGATTGATACTGTATCACGATTTTAACATATGTCTTGACAGTATATTTCATAATAGCCACTTTCCTTTGTAACTGTGTATACTTTGTTTTACTGATCTTCCCTGTAGCTGGATGGTAAAGAGTCTGCCTGCAATGAAGGAGACCCAGGTTAATCCCTGGGTCGGAAAGATCCTCTGGAGAAAGGAATGGCAATCCGCTCCAGTACTCTTGCCTGGACAATCCCATGAACAGAGGAGCCTGGCAGGCCACAGTCCGTGGGGTCGCAAAGAGTCAGATATGACTGAGTGACTAACAGTATACATTGTTTTAAGCACTTACAAATACCATTCTGAGAATGGCCACAGGCTTCACCAGCCTGCTTCACCAGGGGCACCCATGGTGGTATGATAGAAAAGTAGGAAAGAAGTGAACATGGTCAAAGCAGCCTAATTAGTTGCAGTTTCCTTTTAGGTTTAAAAGCCTCTAGGAAATAAAAACATAAAGGTTTTTCTTTACATTCTTTTCTTTTCAAATAAAGTTACAGAGGAAAATGAAACTTTGTGTTATTTCTCCCCTTTAAAAGTAGTACATGTGTATTTAAAAAAAGTGGAAAATAGAAGGAAACAAAAAGCTATCCATACTCTCATTATAACATAAAAACAACTATGGCACTATTTTAATTTATTTCCTTGGGTCTAGTAGTGAAAGTTGATCAATCATGTCCAACTCTCTGCAACCCCATGGACTATATGGTCCATGGAATTCTCCAGACCAGAATACTAGGGTGGGTAGCCTTTCCCTTCCCCAGAAGATCTTCCCAACCCAGGGATTGAACCCAGGTCTCCTGCATTGTAGGCGGATTCTTTACCATCTGAGCCACAAGGGAAGCCCAAGAATACTGGAGTAGATAGCCTATTCCTTCTCCAGTGGATCTTCCTGACCCAGGAATCAAACCAGGGTCTCCTGCATTACAGGCAGATTCTTTACCAACTGAGCTATCAGGGAAGCCCAATTTCATTAGGGTCTTTGTTATTTATTTTTTCATAGATGTTATTGGAGTGTGTATGTTGAGTGTATGTGCACTCAGCATTGTCATAAGCACTTTGCATTCTATTACATACTCATCAAATATACCATTTTTATAGCCAGACAGGATGCCATAAAGTGGATATCCCAAGATCAATTTGGCCATTTCTCATGGTCTAAAACTTTTAACATAAATTATTTTTTAATGTGGTAGAACACACATAACATAAAATTCCCCATCTTACCCATTTTAAGTATACAACTCAGTAGTATTAAGTACGTTCACACTGTTATGCAACCATTACCACCACCATCTCCAGAGCCCTTCTCATCTTCCCAGACTGAAACTTTGTGTCTATTAAACACTGACCCTCATTCCTGTGGGCTTCCCAGGTGGCGCTAGTGGTACAGAACCCGCCTGCCAATGCAGGAGACATGAGAAAGGGGGGTTTGATCCCTGGGTCAGGAAGGTCCCCTGGAGGAGGGCATGGCAGCCCACTCCAGTGTTCTTGCCTGGAGACAAGAGACACGAGTTCAATCCCTGGGTTGGGAAGATCCCCTGGAGGAGGGCATGGCAGCCCACTCCAGTGTTCTTGCCTGGAGAATCCCGTGGACAGAGGAGCCTGGTGGTAACAGTCCATGGGGTCAAGAGTTGGACACGACTGAGGAGACTTGGCAGCATGCACTCACTCATTCCTGTGTCCCCTCCATTTGGCAGCCACCTTCTACTTTCTCCACAAATTTGACATTTCTAGGTATCTTGTGTAAGTGAAATCATATAATAATATTTGTCCTTTGGCAGTGCACTTACTTCACTTTGCACAATGTTTTCAAGGTTTTATTCACATGGCAGCATGTATCTGAATTTCCTTTTCTTAAAGGTCCAATAATATTCCACTGTATGGATATACCACATGTATTTATCCATTCCCGTATCAGTGAACACTTGAGGTGTCTGACATTACTAGCCAATAAGAAGTCTTTAGTGCAGGCTCCTTGGGAGCACTTACCTGTGGCCACCAGGAGGCAGCCACTGGAATCTCACCACCCCTCCCAGCTGTAAATCTGCTTCTCCTTAATTTCTCCTGTTCTTCCCTACTTACAAGCTTCCCAGGTAGTGCTGGTGGTAAAGAACCCACCTGCCAATGCAGGAGATGTAAGAGACACGGGTCTGATCCCTGGGTTGGGAAGATCCCTTGGAGGAGGGCATGGCAACCCACTATAGTATTGTTGCCTGGAGAATCCCATGGACAGAGGAGCCTAACGGGCTACAGTCCACGGGGTCACAAAGAGTCGGACACGACTGAAACGACTTAGCATGTGTGCACTCCCTACCTACACATCCTTTTGCCTCCTTCCACAGATAAAGATTCTAAAAGATACAGTTTTATTATAAGTAAGTAAGCAAGTAAGTGAAAGTCATTCAGTCGTGTCTGACTCTTTGTGACCCCATGGACTATAGTCAATGGAATTCTCCAGGCCAGAATACTGGAGTGGGTAGCCTTTCCCTTCTCCAGGGGATCTTCCCAACCCAGGGATCGAACCCAGGTCTCCCACATTGCAGGTGGATTCTTTACCAGCTAGGCCACAAGGGAAGCCCCAGTTTTTATTATATTTTATGCTAAATGTAGGACATATGTTCTAAATAATCATAGAATATCCAAACTGAAAACTTCGAATATCTTTATTCAAAACTCTTAGTTGCTTCACTGTAGGACAGTTTCTTCTTTTTCAAAAATTGTACCAAAGAAGAGACTCTTTACCCAAAAAAGAGAAGTTTGTGGGCTTCTGTTGCCTAATCCCCTTCTTGGGAGATGCAGTCGTATCTCCTTATCTGGGCTGTGAAGTTCAAGTCCAGTCAGCTGAGCAGAACTTCCCTCAGAGCGTCTGAAGGAAAATAACTTTCCCAAAGTTCAGGCCACTTGTTCTAGAAAAGAAATTATGATTCCTCCTACTCCAGCTCACGACTTAGAGTTCCAGTTCGTCTTCTGGTTGCAGGGGCTTAGCAAACCTGTGCGTTTCCCCTGCACCAGAGCTCCCCAGCAGGCTGTGGCTTCTGAGCCTCGGAGATACAGGCAGAAATAGAAGGCAGAGTCGAGTGAGGCCGGAAGGCAAGAGGGAGGGGCAGATGGTCTGGGACAAAAGTTAACTCACATCGCTTAGTGAATAGTGACTGGTTCCATTAGGTTGAGGTTACATGAGCCTTGAAGTACTTTGTGACACTGTGCACTTTGTAAACCAGACACCCGCACTGCACCTACAGCCAGCATGTTGTTTATTTAAATACTGACTTCGCATAATCTCGGACTGAATCCTTATAAACCGCGTGCACTAGGTTACTGCCGCTGTTACTCCTGTCTGACGGATGAGGAAACCGAGGGGTAGACAGAGGTTATGGAACTGGCCCAGGCTGGCACCAGGCTCCTGGCAGAGCGCAGCTCCCCGCACAGGCAGTGTCGGCCCGGAATTGAAGGCCATTCCTCCTCGGTGCGTCTCCCTGCAGAAAAGAATCATACGGCGATGCTGACAATAATAATTAGCTTCTCCCTGACTTCAGTGCTAATCCCCCTTCAAGTCACTTTGCCTGTTTATCTTTTCTTGTTTAAAATTAGATTCTGGCCTTTAGGCAAGAGTGTCTTTTTCTGAGCCTTATAATTTCTTTCCTTTCCGGGGCTTTATCAGGTGGCTGACAACAGAGTCTCTGTTTACTTTCTAGGCAACGTTAATGCTGTTTAAGGTCTAATAAGCCTGCTGTCCTGTCTGTGTTATTACGGTGCAAGCACAAACTCACAAAGCTGCTGAGTCCTTACTGCTCCCCTAATCGCAGAGCATCCGATGGAAGAAGAAACGGCGGCAGGCCGGGGCTGGTTTACCGTTACGATGATGGGAGTGCTGGTATTCAGACAGGATAAAGAAATCAGCAGTGTAACTACTGAAAAGAAATAGAGTTTGTAACTACTTGCACGCTAATCCGAAAATTCAGCCTAAAACCGAGTCCAGTGTCTGTGATTATATAAACAAACATCCATAGTAGAGGGGAAGGGTGAGGGCGAAGGGATAGTTAGGCAGTTGGGGGTGGACATGTATATCCTGCTATATTTTAAATGGATAACCAACAAGGACCTACTGTATAGCACAAGGAACTCTGCTCAATATTCTGTAACAACCTAGTAGGAAAAAGAATTTGAAAAAGAATAGATACATGTATGTAAATAACTGAATCACTTTGCTCTACACCTGAAACTAACACAACATTGTTAATCAGCTATACTCCAATATAAAGGTAATTAATTAATTAAATGTGCTCAGAGAACAAGTTTCCCTACTTCTCCCCTCCCCCCAAAAAACCATATCATTCTCATACACCACCGTAGTTTTTTGGGTTTTTTTGCATAATGGCGAGAAGATAAGATTTCATTCAAAATAGCATTTAGGAATAAAGAAATATGCAAGGCCTATGTGAAGACACCTATAACAATATACCAAA